TCCGTCCTCGTGACCCCCACCCTTAAGATATTTGTAGGTGTTGATGAGATCCCCTCTCAGCCTTCTCTTCTCCAGGCTGAACAAGCCCAGCTCCCTCAGCCTTTCCTCCTAGGGGAGATGCTCCAGTCCCTATATCATCCTTGTTGCTCTCCTCTCCTGGTTCACCCCCTGTCCTTTGACTCCTCAGCATGGCGGGGGGCTGGGGGGAAGGAGGGGGATGGATATTTATTTGTGTGCCCTTTCCGAGCTCTGGTGAGCATCAGTGCTTATTCTTAGTGCTAACTGGCTCTATTTATTGACCCAAGGTAATTTTTCCTCATTAGTAAAGGCACAAATGCCGCTTGGGCCTTGCGGGAGATCTGCCTCTGTCCCAGGAGCTCCTCTGTGGGAGAGGTGTGATGAGAGGGAGGGAAACTTGGTCCTTGCCTCTGCCAGGAGGGATCGGCTGACGCTGCTCTTCCGGCAGCTCTTTGACCTCTCGTGTAGCAAAAAGTTTTCTATGCTGACACGTGCCTAAAATATAAAGCTCAAAAATCCTTTGACGGTCCCTTTCATTGGAAGGTTTTTCAAAACACTGAGGCTTAACAAGTGCAGGCCCTCCTTAGTTGACACCTATCTATTATCCAAACAACTTTGTTAGTAGACCAAAGCACTGGAGAGGTGTGGTGGCTTGGCAGAAAGACATGCAGTGACTCAACAGCAAAGCCTGGAGACTCCTTGTCCCTGCTTGGAAGAAGAGCCACAAAGCTGGTGAAGGGTCTGGAGCCCCAGGCTTTCTTGCAGGGCAGAAGTTACAAGGCTGTCACAAGGCTGCAATTGCTTTGTCACATCAGATGGATCGACAACCAAAAGCACTTGCCTGCTCCTAAGGCATAAGAGTGATTTTCCACAAAGCAATCACAGGCTTCTAAGAAAGTTATCTACCTATTTCAGTAGAGGAAAAAAAATTTCACTAAAAGATGGGTAGACGAGGTGCTCAGGGACATGGTTTAGTGGTGGGGTGGCAGGGGTAGAGGAATGGTTGGGCTTGATGATCTTAAAGGGCTTTTCCAACCAGAACAATTCTATGATTCTCTGCTTTGTGTTTGGGGCTGGTAGTGGCTGTGCTGGGCTATGTGTGTGAGTTGACCCTCAGAGACTGCTCTGAAAAGATATCTGGAAATAAAATTAGCATTTTTTTTTTTAAATTAGGCTCCAAAGTGCGTTTTTTGCATGTGAAAAAGAGCTTAAAGGGGCAAAAGGTAGCTGACAGCACTAGTGCAGTGTATTAAGGGTCTGTGGTTCAGACCTGCATTGTGCTGTCCTGCAAAATTGCTTTTGTTGCTAACTTTCGTGGGGATTGAGGGGGATATTTAAGTTTTTCCTTCCAGCACTGCTTATCTGAAACATGGCTTGTGTGAGCCTGCGCGGAGTGATCGTCCTCTACAGCGCAAGGAAAACCAGTGCTGTGATGCTGTCAAACTCCCACGGGACCGGTGATTAACAGACGCTTTCTTCTTCTCCTTAGGTCTCATAAACGACCATAAAAACACACACGGGGATGTGCCGCGGCCGCTGCCATCCGCACCACCAAGGTGGAACAACCCCCACCAGCCTACCTTCAGCAGGGGGGGGGCATTTTCGGCCAGGTACCCCCAGCGGGCTTCCAGGGATTTCCAGCTGCGCCAGAGCCACTCCTGGAGGAAAAAATACTCCCTTGTCAACCGGCCGTCGGGATCGACAGGCGACGTTGGAAGCGGTGGAAGTGCCAGCACTTCTTGGGCTTTTGGAAGCCATGGGGACAGCCCGGCACCTGAGCCACCAGAATCGTCCCCGGAGAGACACGTGGACTTAACCACAGATGGTAATATAGTTGTGGGGATCCAGCTGCCGCAGAGGGCTGGCCCGTTCGTAGGTACAAAAGGTTTTGCTGGTGTGGGTTCTTACTGTGAGTTTTCTGGGCTGAAAACAGCGGTTGCTGCTCCAGGTGACAGTAAAACCGTGCAGAAATCTCCGTATGCAAGCCAAAATGAAGAGAGAAGACCCTCTCTATCTGTTTCATTTAGTTCATCTCACCGGTTCGTGAGTTCAGCATACGTGAGTGTGTTGGATAAGCCTAGAACGGTGCATCTGTCCGGTGACGTGGCTGGGAGCTCCCCTGCCTCCTGCGAAAGCACCAGTGAAAGCGCTGTGACGCTGAAATCGGAGCCGCAGCAGCCTTCGGTGTTGCCAGATCGTGAGCCGGCTCGGCACTTGGTACGGAGAAAGGTGGAACCGCCAGCTCCAGGGCAGTTTAGTTGTGAGCAAGGCAGGGATGCTTTCAGAGAGCCGAAGCTCCTTGGAAATGGCGAGACGTGCTCGAGACCTGCTCAGGCTGAGACTTTGGTAGTTGGGATGACTTCAGTGAAGAGCAGGTTTTCCATAGTCCCCAAAGCTGCCGGTCTCCAAAGACCTGCTTCGACAGCCATCTCTAGCAAAGCTCCAAAGTTCAGGAAAACTAATTACACGTGGGTCGCAAACCCTGGTAAATGCTCTCGTGCTGTGAAGAGATGGGTCAGCCCTAGAGCTTCTGAAAGTGCTAAGAAGGTCGCTGGTGGAGCAGACAGAGGTGCTAAACTATCACCAAAAGCAGACTTGGGAGCAAAGCTGAAGAAATCAGGACTGCAGTCCAAACTGGGTGTTTCTCCCAGCAAGTATAAGTGGAAAGCCTCCAGCCTCCAGACCTCGCCCTCCACCTCCAAGTCAGCATTCAGGTGGCGATCTGAGGATCAGAAAAAGCCACCAGCTCCCAACCTCCCTCGAGCTGGTGCTGCCCCACCACCTCCGAGCACTGCTTCTGCTGGTCTCGGCGGGGTGAAGTCCACCTTTGGTGATGCTGCACTGTCCAGTTATAAAGTGAAGAGTCGGACAAAAATCATCAAGAGAAAAGGAAGCTCGGGGTAAGTTGCTGGTCGTCTTTGGAGCGGGTGTCATTGCACTTGTATTTTGTGTCCATTGGCTTCACGTAAGTTGTGGCCATATGTACGAATGAAATACCAACGAGGATTGTTGTATACTGGAAGGTATTTTGCTTTTCTCTTTTATAGCATCATAGAATCTTTTTGGTTGGAAAAGCCCTTTAAGCTCATCAAGCCCAACCGTTCCCCTACCCCTGCCATCCCACCACCAAACCCTGTCCCCTAAGCACCTCGTCTGCCCGGCTTTTAAATACCCCCAGGACTGGGGACTCGACCCCTTCCCTGGGCAGCCCCTTCCAGTGCTTGACAGCCCTTTTGGGGAAGGAGTTGTTCCCAATGTCCACCCTAACCCTGCCCTGGCACAACTTGAGGCCATTTCCTCTCGTCCTACCACCCGTTACTTGGGAAACGACACCAACACCCCCCAGGCTCCCCCCTCCTCTCAGGCAGTTTTAGGGAGTGATGAGGGCTCCCCTCAGCCTCCTCTTCTCCAGGCTGAACACCCCCGGCTCTCCCAGCTGCTCCCCATCACCCTTGGGCTCCAGACCCCTCCCCAGCTCCGCTGCCCTTCTCTGGACACGTTCCAGCAACTCAACATCTTTCCTGTAGTGAGGGGCCCACCCAAACGTGGTGACTTTGTTCTGGGTGGAAACATCCCGCTTTCCAGGGTTGGAAGGACTCAGGTTTTAATGGTTTTAGCAGTCTGTGTAACTCTTGACTTTAACCTTTCAAACAGAGCTGGGTTTTCTTCTCGTCTCCCATCCCTGTTCTCCAAAGACTTTGCCACAGCACTTAGGAGACTCCTCCCTGAGCTGAATAGCAGACGTAATATTCAAAGGGAAGGAAATAGCTGTCTTCCTTTATTGATTTATTTTCAAACTCCCATAACCTTGTTGCGCTGGCGGCTGAGGGAAAGGAGGAAAAGCGGCTTGAATCGTCATACTGTGTCTGGTCTGTGCCTGTAAAGCATTGTGCAGACCTTGGGATGGAGCAGGGATGGGAGGTGAGCTGTGTGTGCTGGGAAGAAGCGATGTCCGTGATGCTTTGCTGGTACTTTCCTCCCTTGGGTGCTCTCCTTTTGTCCTAGTAACTCAGAACGTCCTCCCTGAAGGCTCTTGCTCTTCCCTTCTCCTTGTTGAGTCAGTGACAGATCTGTGGCCGTTGTAGATACCTTAGGAGAGCGCGCTGTGCCAGACCGGCAGATAACTCCTGGGGTCTCGTGAAGCAAGTTCTCCCCGCTGGCTGTGTCTGATAGGGACGGGAGTACAATGGGAAGGTTATAAATGAAACTTGGCGGAAGGAAAAGGTGTGTGGGTCGAGTTATCTGCAAAAGGGGTTTGTGCCTGGGCTGGGAGGCGAGGGGAAACAGATAAGAGATTGGGACCAAACTTTCCCTGAAAGCTGGTGTGTTGTGGAAGTTCTACAAGGGCTTCGTTATGGTGTGCTCCTGGTGGGAAAGCTGTGTTTTGTGCTGTTTTTCTCGGCAGGGCTGGATGTAAGCCCGGGCTGTGCTGCAGGGAAGGGATAAGAGAGATGGGACGAAGGTTGGTGGCACAGCTGTGTGACCACTGAACTCAGAGATACCCTCAGTGTAGTGGATGGGTGGTTTGGCTCCTTTGTGAGTGCAGTAACTCCAAGCCTGAGCTCTTGAAAATTAAGGACTGTGACCTAAATAACGATTCTAAGTGATGCAATGAGCTGGTAGCACGGCACCGATTGAGGATCTGGTGCCTCAGTTCCTGCTTCTGTTTCCCAAATCCTCCACTCAGCATTTCACTGCAGGTTTCCGTCCTTGCCTTACCCTCCCAGTTTGCTGAGGGATGTGTCTTCGGGTGGGTTGTGCTGGGAAGATTATTCTGGAGCAAGGTGCTTGGAGAAGCTGGGGTTGTATTGGATTTTTGGCAGTCAGGGAGATGAGACCCCCCTCGTCTTGCTCAAGGGCAGCATCTTCTCCCCTGCGTCTGCTGAGCAGAAAGCAGAAGGGAATGAGTTGAGTCAGGCTCTCAAATACCTGTACTTTGCCAGAAATTCATCATGCTTGCCTATTTGCTTGCAGTTTTGTGTTCAGTGCTTCTTCTCACCCTCAAGTAGGGGAGCAATGTGGAGCTTGGTGACCCAGCTTCCCTTCTCAGCTCTGGGCAAGGGGACCAAGCACATTTCGGTCACCTCTACGCCCTTCTAACCATGTGGTGTTCCCCTTTGCAGCTCCCCGACAGATAAGAAGAACAGTTCCTCACCCACCACACCTCTGAAAAGTCACTTCCATCTCAGGAAGAAAAACTCCTCGCGGGGGAAACCTTCTGCGATGCTGAAACGCTCCTCGCCCAAGGGCCTGGTGCAGATCACCAAGCACAGGCTCTGCAGGCTGCCGGCCACCAGGATGCAGATCTCCACCAAGGAAGGTAGGAACAGCCATCCCAAGGGGTGACTGACGGTGCTTGCTGACCATGTGCTGGTGAAGCGGTTCCAAAGGGAGGTTCTTGGATTTCAAAATGGGTTACCAGGTCCTCCAGGAGGTGAATCTGCTGTTGTTGGTCCCAGAGCAAACACCGAGGAGCAGAAGTTTGCCTGGAGTAAGACTTTTGCCTTACCCCAGAGCTGTCTTGTGCTTTGACATCTCCAGATGAGGCCATTTTTAAGCTGCTTCTTGCTTTTAATGTGGTTTTGCTGGACTTAGAGGCATCAAATAGGAAGGTGCTCAAGTAAGGAAGAGGATGGTGGAGGCAGTAATACGTTTGTAAGACTAATCTCTCTTCTTGCACCAGGCAAAACCTTGTGCATGTCATGAGATACTGCTCTAGCAACTACAGACCTACCTGTATCCCAGCGCGATGTCTGTGGGCGTCTAGGTTTTGTATGTAATTTGCTTAAAATTGCAGTTGCTGGAGGAATACTGGGTCCTTCGGGTTTGTGAACAGGTAGTTTGCATCCGTGTCCTGCTGCCTTGGGTTGGCAATGGTCAGAGCAGAAATCAGCTGCTTGGGGCTTGGAGAGCTGCACCTATGCAAGCGTGAAACGTTTCCGTGATGTTTCTGGCTCAAAGTTTGGTTCTGCTGTTCAGTGGTGACATTTTCACGGACAAGTGGCTTCACCCCCCTGACGTTCAGTTTTCTCAAACGTATATGATGCAGATTTTGCTTATGTGCTTGCGCTGTGCTTGTTCGCGTGCTGCAGGGTGGCCGATGGCGCTGCGGTAGGCATCGCTTGAGTGGGGAGGGCTGTTCGGGCCACGACATAGCTGCGATCTGTCTCCAAAAGTAAAGCTGTCGAGCCTCTGTTTTCAGGAAGATGCTTCTGTGGTTTCCTGTCCTGCACTTCAACTACCGAGTTTACACGTGTGATTATAGTCATTTTGTGTTCAGCTCTGTGTTGAGATGTTGCTGTGTTTTGACGGATGAAAAGACAAGAATGGGGGCTTGTGGTTCAGGAAAGGGAAAAACTTCTTGGGGGAGGAGAAGAAAAAGATTTTTCTCTTCCTGTCTGTGTTTGAAGAGGGGTTTGGAGGGATGGGGGGGGATGCCGGGAGGAGAATTTGGATCTGGTGCTTTAGGAGATGGGCAGGGGGAATAAGATGTGCGTTTGTGCAGTTGCATTGATGGTCCCAGCATTCAAGAAGTTGCCTGACTTTGGGGCTGAGTCTTGCTCTGTTTAAGGATGTCAGCAAACCCTTTTGTGTCTGGAGAGGTGGGAAGGCTGCACCTGCGGATGCTCCGTGTTGGAAGTTTTTGTGCAGTATGTGAAGGCAGTGTGTATGGTTGGAGGACTCGGTCATACTTGCACTGTGGTTGCTCTTCTGTGATCTCTAAAACCAGAGGTGGCAGATACAGCACTTGGCCAGATCCAGCTGTGATGATGATGTTGGGGGGCCACGAGGCTTTTCCTCTTTGGGTGATGATGTGTAGGGTGGGGAACGCAACCCTTTGGCCTCCCAAGAAATGTCAGCTGCCTGTTCAGGGGTGAATTTAGGACTCAGACCTCTCAAAACCGCTTGATGGGGACCTTTCTCCAGTGTGGCATGTCCAGTACGAGTCATTGAGTAAAGCTTTATGCTGTAAAGTTCCTTTTTAAAAGAACTTGCTATGGCTGCTGAGAACCTGATATGAGCAGGTCTGCTGCGGCTCTGGAGATACAGAGCAATTTGGGGTCACCACAGCATTTTATATAAGAGGAAATCAAGATGCTGCTGGTTACAGGGATTTAAGCTCTTTGGGTGATCCAGGAACAGACCTGGGGTTATACCAGATCCTTGTTCCCTGTGTAGCTCCGTGTTTACACCTGGGTTTGTGCCGAGCAGAGGCCTTGCTGTAGTTTTGCTCAGCTGTGCGTGTTGTCGAGGAGGTCACAGCACTGAAGCCTTGGGAAGGCTCCTAGCACCCATCAAAGCTCGCTTGACGTGGCAAACATCTCTTCTTTTTAGAAGCTGTCAGTAAAAACTTGCACTCAAACCAAAGTGAAGCTTTACATAGGTTAAGAATATACAAAATGGATCAAAATCTTTTGCTCCCCTGGGAGCCTGACTGGCAGCTGCCAAAAGCCCATGTCTTTTGGGAGCATATTCTGAATTCTAGTTCCTTGATTGAAGGGATTGTTCCTGTACTATAAAGATTTTTTATCTTAAACTGAGTAGGGCTGAAAATACGTAGATAGATACGGTTGTGCTCCTGGCTTTGATCAAAATAGGAGTTGGCCAATAAAAAAGCTTGGAGAAAGTAGAAAAAAAAATTGGAAAATAGGTCTGGAAGTGACTTTGGGAGAGCATGTAGTTCATCCCCCTGTCCAAAAGTGGATCAAATTATCAAACCATTTCTGACAGACGCTAGCAAACCTAGCAGGAACAAACCCCAGGCTTGTAAGAGTTTTGAGTTGTCTGTGTTGAAGTGACTTAATGTTATTTTCCAGCTTGGATCTGTGCGCTTCGCAGTCTGAGCTCAGAGATGTGGAAACGAGCATCGTCTTTAAGAAAACTTGGTGACCGTGCCTTGTGGCTTTTTTTCTTTGCAAGCTGCAGTACCTGCTGTAAAAATATGTCTTGATTTGGTTCTTAAAATGACTAAAAGCAAAAGGAACTGTCCTGCCTGTCTTTTCCCCTGTGTATATGGGTGTGTGCACACGTGAGACTGCTCTTCCCCACTTCACAAATGCCACAAACCCTTTTCCCCGTGCCTCGCCGTGCTAGTGGGAGCATGGACACTGATGCCTTAGACGGTGAATTAAAAATGCTTCCCCGCTGTAATTATAAAATGGCTTCTAAATTTCTTTCTTGCTTTCTGCAGTGGAGAGGAATTATAGTCCAGTAGATGAGCCGTTATTTGGACTGGAAAATGGACTGGGATCCATTCACTTGAAGCTCTGGAAGGCCTCCTTGGGCTGCCTTTCTCCTCCCCAGGGAGGAGGGTACAAGGTTGTTTCTGCTGTGTTTGCTCCTGCTTTGTCCAGTCTCTCTGCAGAGCTGAATTAAATACGTTTTTCTGCTAGGAGGCCTTTGTGCAGTTGAGATCTCTCGCTGGGTATATTTTCTGTTGACGTGGTGACTGTGAGAACTTGGCTGCATGTCCCCTTCCTGGAGAGGTTCTCTTAAGATGCGACGCGACGATGTAAGTTCAACAGTTCTTGTCATCTTTTCTCTACCGCGCTTACGGGCTTTCCCTTTGCTGCTGGGACATCAAGTGCTAAATGCTGATCTATATGGGTAGCTGGTTGCTGGTAATCTAACCTCTGTTGTACCATCACCTCGGGGGATCCCAGAGGACTTGGTTTGCTCCTTCCCGTGCCTTTGGCAGCTCTGTGAGGCAGCTGCTGAGCGATGCACGGCTGCTTTGCTTCTCCAGTTAGCAGAGAAATTCAGCAAGAGTCTCGACTGCTTTGAAATAGCAAAATGAACTCTGGCAGGGTTGGTGCTGCTTGCTGGGCATCTGGTTAAGGCTGAAGAGGTGCCTGCCCCACACATTCCTCCTTTTACCTTCCTCTTGGCAGCAGCAGCCTTGCCTGTAGCCTAGAGGCTGAGCGAATAAGTCCAGCGGGTGCTTACCTTCATAAAGCCTGTGGATTTGGTTCTTTTGCTTAAAATTGAGTTTATAGATTTGAATCCTTTACACCTGAAGCCTTTTCTTTGAGAGGGTTCAATCCCAGGCAGTGTATTCGCAGCTTAATGTGTTGAAGTATTCTCATGTTCTGTGTTTCTACAGCTGTTGAATTGTTGCTGGACTGTTCCTAGGACAGTGGGGTACAGAGGTGTTACTGGGAGCCTCTGGGAGCAGACTGGGGCACGAATGGTGCAGTGAGACTGATATTAAGTCTCTGGCTTGATGCTGAAGCAACACCCGTTGCATCTCTTGCTGGGAGCAAACCAGTGACCGTCCTGTGCCACTCGAGTGTTAGTTTGTCCTTGAGTCTGGGTATGCGCAGCCCAGCTAACAAACCAGTTAAAAAGCCGGATGGTTCACGCTGGACCTGTGATCCCACTGGATGGATGCGGTCGTGCTGGAGCCTGGATCCAATGGGTGTTCATGCCTGTGTGGTGAGTGAGCATCCAGCACGCCTGCGTTCCCGGGGAGATCCCACGTTGGACACAAACGGCGTGTGGGTCATTGCTGAGGACGGAAGGACGGCTGGGGAGGAGCGTGCCCTACTGTAGAGGTTTAACCCGGCTGGCAACTCAGCACCACGCAGCCGCTCGCTCACTCCCCCCTCCCTCAGTGGGGTGGGGGAGAGAATCGGAAAGAAAATAAAAGGTTAGAGCCGAGGGCTGAGATAAAGGCAGTTTAATAAGAGAAAATAATAATAATAGTAATAATGAGAATGATAACAGAATATACAGAATATACAAAACGAATGAGGCACAATGCACTTGCTCACCACCCGCCGACCGATGCCCAGCCCGTCCCGAGCCGCGAGCAGTCCCCGAGCCGCGAGCAGTCTCCCCGCGACCGACCGACCGACTAACTCCCCCCGAGCATGACGTTCTATGGTATGGAATAGCCCTTTGGTCAGTTTGGGTTAGCTGTGCTAGCTGTGCTGTACTCCCAGCTCGTTATGCACCTGGCCGAGCAGGAGAAGCTCAAAAAGTCCTTGAGTAGTCTGAGCACTACTTGGCAACAGCTGAAAACATCAGTGTGTTATCAACATCCTTCTGGTACTAAATCCAAACCACAGCACTATGCTAGCTACTATGAAGAAAATTAACTCTATCCCAGCCGAAACCAGGACACCTACTTCATGTATTGCAGCGTGGGTGCAAAAAGCCGGGTCAGCCCCTTCCTTCCCTGCCGACGCGGGCGGTGCTGTGGCACAGCTTTGCTGTTTTCTTGTTTGCCCTGTTAAACAGGCTTTTGGGATACGTGGCAGGAGCTCTGCGGTACATACATGTGGGAAAGGCAGGACCGATGCCTTCGGTGTAACGCAA